GGTGTTTATATATGATTTTAGACTCTATCCATATTGTTTATATGTGTTATACATTTGTGAGATATATTTTCACTTCTCTTGTTGTTTTTGTGGTTGTATTTCTCGTTTAAGTTGAACTTCATGCAAGAGTTGATCAGGTTATTTGAGGATTTTGTAAAAGGTTAGTTTTATGCCTCCATTTATGAACTTAGTTTGCTTATTTATTAATTGAAGTTTTCATTCAATAATTTAAGATGTGTGAACCCTTTTATAGTACAAATGAAGAAAAAATCTTTTTATTTAATATTTTAAAAAAATGCATCTTCTTAATAATATCATAATCAATAATTTGGAGTAGAAGGTTGTCACATGTCTCAAATAGAAATCGTAGAAGTTGATTTTGACAATAATGATTGACTAGAAAATATGATTTTTTTTATGCTAGAGATGATTCTTTCTAACGTGCACAAGTATATGATAATTTAGTTAGTGATACAAGGATATCTTTATATTCAAGTTGTACTAATTTCACATGATTGTTATTGCTATTAAGATTATTCGGTCTTAAGACAAAAAATGGATGAAGTGATAAAAGTTTTTCAAAATTATTTAAGTTGTTGAATGACATGTTTACACATTGCTAACACATAATTACAAGGTGAAGATATTATTTTTTATGAATATAAATTGTATAAAAAAAATCATGCATGTCCAAACTTCATATTATACAAATAAAAAATAAAAAATAAACTTATGAACAACTTATTTCCAAAATTATAAATGTTTTTGCAAGCTTTTCTACTAAAAAAATAAATTCTTAAAAATATTTGTTTACATGAATGTTTATAGTATGATGTAACATAATATAATAAAAATAACTTACACAATAGATGACATTAAAATGTATCCATGACACAAATTTTAATTATCATTATGCATCGATTAAAAATAATCGACATTAAAAATACACTTATTATCTCGATTATTTAGCTTACATAAAATATTGAGACTTAATACATTGGTTGGAACCGACCTAAAAACCTATTTTAGTCTACATAGAAAGAAAGTGTTGTGTATAGTAGTGAAGAGATAATTAATTTTCATCATTCTCCCTTTTATTTTGCCTAAAATTTAATGTACTAATCCTATACTTTCGTGATTAGGTCCGCGCGGACGGTGGAACCATTTTGCCAAAAAATTTCACTTACTACAGTGACAAGAATGCACCGTCCTATGTTTTAAAAAGTATTTTTCTCTTCAAATATATGTTATAATATATAAAACATATTTTATAAAATTACAAGTTATTAAATTAAATTTTAGAATGAAAAATTATGATTTATTTATAATATTTATAAATATTTATTTTAAGTGACAAATTATATATGAAAAATATTTAATATGATAACTAAAATTGTATTAAAAATATATTATTACTAAAATAATAAGATAAAAGTTAGTATTAAATACATTAAGTGATAAAATATTTTAGTATTTACAAATAATATAATATTACACATTTCAGTAGATTTATAAATAAGAAATTTTTAAAACCACAAAAACCAAATCAAATAAAATCACAAAAGATTGGTTTGTTTTAGTTTGGATTTTATAATTCATTTAAACCAAATCGAATCACACTTAATTTTCTTATTTGGTTCAGATAATTTTTAAGATAAAAATAGAATCAAACAGTACTATTAACACTTGTAATCAATCCTTATATATTAAATATAAATATTTGTTTTACATGAGAGTACTATTAACACTTGTAATCAATCCTTATATATTAAATATAAATATTTGTTTTACATGAGAGTGTTTTTAAGAGTTTTTCTTCAATAAAAGAAATTATAAAAATTTTCTTAACTTCTTATATAATTTGATATTTATTTATCATAATTATTTATTAATTAAATATAAATATTTAAAAATAAATTTTTTTATTATTATATAAATTATTTATCATAAAT